TCAGTTTGATTCGCAGTTTCTTGCTAAAATTATCAAACATCATATAGTGTAACGACCTAAGTCCACCGTTAGTAGATATTGCCCTATTGAGTTTTCCCTTTCGGGCTTCCCTTAAGGTTTTTAAAACACGTCTGTTAGGGAGAGCTTTCCACATCCTTATAAACGGTGTTTCGTTCTCTTCCCCAACCGATGTGGGATCTCACATATAGGATAAGCCACAACAATAGGAAAGATCTTGTTTTCACTTAAGTAAGTCTACGTTACTAGCAATTTCCGTACTTAAGTAAGTCTACGTTACTAGCAATTTCCGTACTTAAGTAAGTCTACGTTACTAGCAATTTCCGTGGATGGGGAGTGAAGATACCTCAGACATTATAATCCATGGAATAGCCCCAAGACCCAGAGAGAAGAAAACCACCAGGGCCTGAAGAAACGAAATTAGCCATATGAGCATTACTACAGGGAGAATACTTCTAAAACTCGAAAGTTTTATTGCGTAGTGTTGGTTCAAGCTAAACATACCACAACACCAACGACTGATAACGTACTCAGAATACCAAATAAATTGGAAGTGTCCGGGGTATGACCCTATTGATAATGTAGGGAAGCAGTGTTAGAGAAGAAATTTCCAGCCTTATAATTATAAATTACAACCACCCGAGAACCTTTACCTTCAAAAAGAATACTGAGGAAACAATTAAAAGGCTGAACGTCATTCCAGCTGTGGACACCTGAAACATAAAATTTTCCATTTTTTTTCACTCCCCAAAAAAAAAAAAGATGAGTGGAGAACTGAGAAGAAATAAGAGACTTACAATAAGGAGAATTCGACGGCCTGCTCTGTCAACCAACCATGTGGTCACTGCAGTGGCAATAACCTAAAAGTCATGAAATTCCATGTCAATACCAAATTATCAGCCACGAAGGCATGGAGGTAATAGTTTGTGTAAGGCAATTCTTGAAAATGAACCTGGACTGCACCCAGCCCAAATGTAGCAGCATTACTTGATTTAACACCTGTTTCATACAAAGATCATCAGGTTTAAGAAATGAGGTTGCAACAAGATCCTTGAATTCAATAAAAGCAAACTATAAAACTAACTTATTATTGAAATCTGTGTACCAATGCTGTACTAGAAACTAATGCCATGATCAGAAGAAGAAAAAAAAAAAAACAATTTGAACGTCTTTTAAAAAAAAAAAATGCTCAATTTTTATTTTAGGTAAAAAAAATATTTATAAACTTTCAAAAGTTTCAATAATATTATTAAATTATTCAAAATATTTTTATTATTATTATTTTTTTAATGTACTTTTGAAAATACCTTTAAGCTTTAAAAATTTTCATTAATATCTTTCCATTTTTTAAAATAGTTATCTACACCTATAATATTTTGTAAAAACGTTTTGAAAAGTCATGTTTATACGGTAATAATAATAGTCGGGTGTTTTTGAACTTTTTAAAAAATTTAGAGGTATTTTTAAAATTTGTAAGAAGATTTTAAAAGTTTTAATGAAACTTTTTGAGGCTCAAAGGTATTATCGGAATTGGAAGACAAAGTGCAAATTTTAGAATTATTTTTATTAATTTAGAAAAAAAAAAAAAAAAAAAAAAAAAAAAAAAAA